CCTCTTACCTGTCGTGGGAGGTCCCCTTAATGTGGAACATTCTTGCGTCTTTCGTTTTGCGCGCTGATTTCTTATTATCGCTCCTGAACATTTTTAATGGTTTACATAAACTTTACTTCGCTTTGAATGAACAATAGAGTTAACCCACTTCACTCCTAAGCAAATTCCCTCTATTGCCGAGTGTTTGCTACTTTTGACACACGTTTATGTGGTTCATACTGTAGGGTAATTGCGACACTGTGCGTGGGAGCTAAGGGTCCTACAGCCTCCCTTGGTGGTTGCCTTATAGTATACCTACTGAAACGCTTTGAGAAGTAATGCTTAGACTGGTTTGCGATCTCTTGAGGATTTATCGAGAGAAGTTTGAGAGGTTTGGCTGGGAAGTTTACCGGTCGATAAGTTTAGGAATGGAGGTTTCGGTGTATGGTGCTAGGTATTTCGGCTTAGGATTAGAATTGAGTTTAGGGTTAAGACAACCTGGCTAACACGACTGCTGGCCCTGACATTCGAACTCTGGAACTAGATTCACTTGCAAAAAAACAAAATACGCAGTGTATGATTGTTTCTTTTTGCAGTAGGAAGTGAGCACCTGTGTGGTAGACATTTGCAACTACGCAGCATTTACGTAAATAAGGATGAAGGTTTATATATTCCCAAGACAAGACAGAAGCACGGGACTGTTATTTGAAGTGTTTTCTCAAGAACTCACGTGGTATAGTAAACTGTCTTATCTACTTGTTGTGTACTTTAAAAACCTATAAAAATAAGATGCTCTAGATAACGTACTTTCATGGAACTGCCATGACTGATAGGATTTTTCTGAAAAATTACAACAGCCTATGCTTGAAGTTGCCGATTAAGCTCTTTGCGAAAAGTTTTCTATACTCACACGTATACTCTGTGAATTGGCCTTGGATCAGTGAACGTCCATGGTAAATTCTGAGTGAATGATATTAAAATGTTTGTAAAGAAGAAAATGCCTTGATTACTGGTATGGCAATTGTATTAGTCTAGGCTTTCGGCTTCACACAAGAGGCCATCGTCAGAGAAAGAAAATAGCAAGCGTTGGCCTGTTTTTGTAGTCTAGCTACGAGTAAATACGGGTGGGGAGGGGGTAGCATTCGCGATTGCTCCATGCTCACGCCGTCGCATTGTATCGCTTCTGTGCGTGTCCTTGGCGTTATGGAGCGCGGCCTTGGTGTGGTAGCGTGCGTGTCTGGAAACGAACTGGGCCATGCTTTTTGGTCGCGCGCATGGAGGGCAAACCAACAGGGGGTATGTCCACATGCCTGTTGATGGAGTTGGAGTCTGACACCGAGGCCTCCAGTAGTTCTCGCTCCGTCTTATTAGCGGCGCGTGCCATTATCCGTGTGCCCTTGAAGTCGAATTCATGGCCTTCTTCCAGAGTGTGGGTGGCGATCTAGGACAGTGAATCGCCTCTCCGCACTGCCCGTTTGTGCTCCATTATTGGCGAGCTAACATGTCTAGTATATTAGCATTTTTTGGATTTATCTATCATATTTGTACAGGCATATCGAATCTGTCTCCGTATACTTTACAACGCTGCTCTCGTTAAGGCCTACTTACCCTACCGTATCGCCCACCTCCTCCCCGTCTTTCTGCAGACCTTTCAACCGATATCTAATGAGTCAGAACCAAAAGCCGCTGTCTCAAGAAGGAACCGGACCCAGCTCCGTAACCACGTCCGGAGTGGCCGATACCTCGGTTTCCAGTACCGCCACCATCACTACTACCACCGCCGTCATCAACACCGTGGTCTCATCTCTCACTTCTGCAGGAGACCATTCTTCTGCTTCAGCGCCGGCTCCCAGCGCTAAGACAACAACCGTACCTTCCTCGAACTCCACCACAACCCCTTCCACAAAGAGTATGTCGACGGCTTCTGTTACTACTCCTCCGCCCAGACTGGCGCCCCTCAACACGGAACCCGTCC